CTAAATGGAGAGTGGGGGAGCTGGGGTGTGGGAAAAGGAGGAAGTGACATCAGAGCAGGTGGGGAAAGGTGTTATTTCCTGTGGAATGAAGGGACGTCAGGTCTAGAATGAAGGCATGGGGAAAGGGAGAGCAGAGAATGTGCAAAGGGAGAGAGAGAGAGAAAAGGAAGACTGTTTCTCAGGGAATGACATGGGGTAGGATCTGGTGCAGAGGACTCAGGATCAGATTCCAGGGAGTGAAGCAATGTCAGCTCCAGAACAGGGGAAAGGGACAGCAGGCTGGTTGGTCGGATCAGGGTCTGATGGCTGTAAAGGAGGTGCGTGGTTGGGTGTTTGTGAGATGCAGTCAGTTCATTAGTTACTCAGGAGTTAGACTATGTATTTAATTGTCTAACTTTTCCTAAGTAACTTTTTACAAAGTTTCTTCAGAGTCCTCTAAATTCCCTGATTTAAATGAATATTTTTGAAGGATTCCAGGTGTAGGGGGATTTATAGAGTCAGAGAGTCATACAGCATGGATCTGAATAATTCCTTTGGAATCTGCTTAGCAGGAGGGTTCAACAGGCTGCTTATGTGCAACTCCCATCTGTGCTGGAACAATGACTGTCTGGCCATTGGAAAATCTGGACCATTGTGTATGTTACTGATTGCAAGTGGCTGATGAGATGCAGCAGACAGGCAGTAGCTTTCAATCAGCAGTGAATAGAAAGGCAGCCAGACCAAACATAAATCAAATAGCAGTTTTGAATCAGCAATAGGTATACAGGTCATCTTGCTTAAATTAATCTGGAAGACAAAGGGCCAAACCATTTGCATTATTTGGCTGCAGCAGGGAAAACTTTTGGCATAGCACTGGTCCCTAAAGAGCTTTATAACAATAGTATCAATATGTGCTACAATGAGACTCAACAACCTCAAAAAAAATGAAGAACGAGGAATGAAGATTATATTCAAAACACCATATAAATATATAGAATAGAATGATGCACTGCACAATAATATTATGTAGCATGTTGTAATAATTTTCTGAATCAACTCTCAATTGTACTGTAAGACAACCTCAATTATGTTTTAAGACATGCTCTTCCTCACACAACTGTTAAAGAATTCATAGTATTGCTTGAGACTTGCATTGGATTTCAATCCTCTGTAAGCTTTTAGATATCTGAGGACAAAAGAGAATTGTGACTATTATTAGAAAGATCAAATGAATGATTTAGGAAATTTTCTATGCAATGTTTTTTAGATTATTGAACATGTTAGCAGGAATAGTCAGAGAATGGTTTTGAATAATCATTAATTAATTGACTGTTTTGATTGATCATTGTTATGATCATAGCAAGTAAGGACTATCAAATTTTAATTTTCATCACCTGACTTTAATAGATGTTTCATGGACAAAAAATGCTTTTATAATGGGATAAAATGTTGACCACGGATTGAGGCAAATCCAGGAAACCCATGTGGAACAAACAAAACTGCCCAACCTGAAAGTATTATTTGATCTAAAGACATCAGAATGAGGCAACCAAGTCAGCATCAAGAAATTTGCATCTTCTATTTTAATCTATACTTCTATGATAATATCACATTTTGGGAGACGAAAGGCTCGTCTGCCAGTTAGCATTATTGGAAATACAATGGAACCAACTTGGGAATATATAAACAAACCACATTTCCGTAGCTGTTTTTGAGCAACAGAGCAGAGAGAGGGAAGAATAAATTTGTAACAATAAGAACTGGATGTCTCGTTCCCTTTTTCACTCATTATTTCAGAAGTCAATGCCCTCTGAAAAAGCAAATTAGGCAAACAGCTATTCATTAAGTACTCAAAGGTATCTACAAACATTGCTGCTACTAAGGACATAAGTTTACAATTAAACAATTGTGGCTTCAGGTGAAAAATTGTAAAGTCTCAAGGGTTCTAAAGACTTTTAAACTGTTTAGCCATTATTCATCCTAGCTGTTACAGATATACTACTCTTTTTAAACTTAATACCTGTGTTTGTATGCATGTTTGATGTTTTTTTTTGCTTTTTCTTGGTGTTACTAGGTAATAAAATCCCTCTTCCTTTCACTCAAGAAAATCTTGTAATTGACTTCTTAATTTTGACCAGTATGGTGGTTTAATTGATGCATATTAGCTGCAAGCTAAAATGAAACAAAAATCTTTTTTGCGACCAAGCAAGAGGGGAGCTGAGTTACTCTTCCTCACCTGGTTGTAACATTGTAATATTATGAGTGCGTTAGAACACTAGAAGTACAAAATAACATACCAAGGAAAAGGAGCAGGAAAATGGGACTAGGAGAATGTGGAGCTGACATTGTCAAAGCAAGGCATGATGAGCCAATGTGGCCTCCTTTGGTACTTAAAAGTTCCATAATTCAATATCTGTGCAGTTTGAATAGTTCATTCGGTATCTCAGTTATGTCCTTCTCCTGATTTTTTATTTCAGGTTTTGTAGTGGTATGGCTGTTTGAAATACTTATGTGCTTTTGTTGCCACTAATACACTGCAATTAGGTATTATTTAACTATTCAACCTCAAGTACAGATCTCCATTCCCAATTCAATCCAGTTTCTTCCAGTACCAGGGGTGGCACGGTGACTCAGTGGTTAGCACCACTGCCTGACAGCATCAGGTGCCTGGGTTCGATTTCCCCTCGGGCAACTGTCTACATGGAGTTTGCACACTCTCCCCGTGTCAGCATGGGTTTCCTCTGGGTGCTCTGGTTTCCTCCACAGTCCAAAGATGTGCAGGGTAGGTGGATTGCCCATGCTAAATTGCCCGTAGTGTTCAGGGATGTGTGGATTTGGGGGATGGGTCTGGGTGGGCCGCTCTGAGGGTCAGTGTGGACTTGTTGGGCCAAAGGGCCTGTTTCCACACTAGGGATTCTATGGATACCATGGCTCATATCTCAATACTAGCATTGCTTCAGTCTTCATCAATAATTCTGAAAAAGTTTCTGTGCATCAATTTCTTATCAAGTATTATTGAATTGCACCCCCCAGTAATATGCATTAGAGCTATAACTCCACTATGGTCTGTGCAACCTTTATTGTTGATATGCTTTAAGCAGTGAGATATAGCTACAAGTTATAGGTTGATCCATGAATTGTGTGAAGATACATAAAGAGACATGAAGCAAAACTGTGAGACAATCCACATCCACTGTATGGCACCTAGCAGTGTCAACAAAACCTGTACCTCTGTTGGAGAAAGAAATTGTTTTCACTTCTTTTGAAGCATTATTTCTGTATTTATTTCCTTTTCTTCATAGGATTTGGAGGAGATGTGATTGCCGCTTTCCAGTGGCATTTTCACTTGGAAGAAGCATAATCATTCATTTTTACCTCCATGGTCTTGTCAAACTGTTCAGCATCTGTACAATTGGATATGACCCAAAAAAAATGATTGCGTTGTATGTATTTGATCATGTTTTAAGATTCATACAGTGATAGATCTGGCTAAATTACTGCACTCGCCTCATTTCCTGTAGTTGTCTCTGTTTTGGAATTACTTTTAACAAGTAGTTTAAAGAAAAAGGTGGTGCTGTGGCTAAAGCTAAATCATACATCAAGTTCCCTCACATCTGCATTCTCTAAAAGCTTTGTTCCATTAGCAGGAACATTCATTTTTTGCTTTGACTTGTTTAAGCCACTGTAAGAGTCTCATTGACCCCTGGCTCTTCTCCATTAATGTGTCGCATTCAATTCAGATTGAAATTGAGAACCCTCTCCTTGTTTCAATCGACTACATTTCTGAGATGATGATTTTCTAAATTTCATAGCAGCGTTTAGTAACCATTCTGATTATTTCCCATTTTCAGGGCCTCCCTAATTCTTTTTTCCTCAGTGAAATTCTTGTTTTCTTATTAGCAGAGGGAGGACCACATGTAGGGGGAGAGTGGAAATATTCTGATGATAAAAGCTTATTGTTGATTCACCACTAATAGACGTTACCATTCAATTTGAAGGAAATGAATTATTATGCCTCTGCCAGTGAAGCTAGTTATGTGTCCAGACCAATGATGGTGCTTTACCCACCTTGACCTATTGGTTACTTCTATTCGATTTTATTAATTACATTTTTATAGCACAATAAAGATGAAAACACGTTTGTCACTGCATTCGGTAAACTTAAGACTCATGTCCTCCAAAGAGCAGGGCTCCTGCCTTTGTTTACCAGGTAGCTTAAAGGAGAAATTACCAAATATTTTCCCTTCTGTCCCTGTGAAATTTTGAACTAGATTGAATGATTGTAATTTTGACTTTAGATAAATGAGTATATAACCATCTGTTATAAATCCCTCACACTTTTTGTTTCCTTTGACTTCAATTGGCCTAAAATTGAGGAAAGAAGGGTATTGGTACTGTAATTGATACCATCCATGTTACACTAATGCCCAAAGTCAATATTACCCCTAATGTTATTTTAATATTCCAGAAACATTGACCATGTTAGGTACTAAAACACATGGATACTGATACTGAAATCTTTTTTATAATGCAATAAATCAATTTTATTGTATCCATTTGCATTGTGTGGGCAGGCAGACTGTTGAGACTGTAATATTCAAGGTACAGAATCTTCCAATGGCTTTCGCATTCAACACTGCCTAATTTTAAGGACAGGGTTTGTTAAATCAAATGGCCTATTACATTAATTAAAATTTTGTGTAATGTTAAAGAATAATCTGGGCCCTCTTGTGGTGCAGTGATAGCCCCTGGACAGGGAGGCCTGGGTTCAAGTCCCATCTGATCCAGTAGTGTGTAATAACATCTCTGAACAGGTTGGTTAGAAAAAATAGGTTAAATAAAAAATTAGAAAGTTCACTGAGTTTTGTCTCTTTTGGAAGCTTGATTCTCCTGGGGAGATCAACTAGTCCCGTGAGTTTATGGCAGTGCCACCATGTTTAGAATATTGTAAATGTGAATCAGTCTGACTTAAAACTTTCTGACACTATTTTTAACACTGCTCCTTTCTATTTGGTACTTAGGCTATGCTCATTTGTGGACTGCAAAACCCCAGACTGAAATAAGGATGGTTGAGGAGCAGGATGTTGTTCTACCATGTCACCATCGCTTCGGTCACTTAGTATCAAAGAATCTGGATATTGAATGGCTTTTGCAAGACTCTGAACCCAATCAGAAAGTGGTGAGCATTCCTTTCAGAGGTGGTTTACATTATAGTCCATGAATATTCTAATGGTGTTATGTTCAATGAAATGACTAAATTGCATCATGTTATATTATACTTTACTCAGCTGCCACATGATTGACCTTTGACCCTAGTCTACACTTTTTAAAGTTACAAAATATTCTTTATAATTCACTTTCCTGTAATAGGTATGGATGTATCAGATACCATTGTATTCACATAGCCTTGTTACAGACCAGTTATATGCTTGACAAGATTTCCCAACTTCAGAAAGGCCTGTCACTGAATTCTAATACCTTTCACTTAAACTGATTAATGTTTACACCATAAAAACTGAGAGGGGAATTTTTGCTTATGCCTGAGGAGTCAGGTTTACTTTTCATCACAAGTGGTGCAGGATGTAAGAGAGGGGAAGTGCAGCTGCATTTATAGATAGTGTCGGCTGTTTCTCATCTGGATAATGAGGTTAAAATCCAGCTGGGGCAGGGCAGCGTGGGGTAAAATGTGTGGAAGTTCAATGGCCACTGTAATACATCCTGTATATTGATAGAGAGGTAAGTCAGGCAGCATGTGTAACACGTGGCTTTCCAATCTATTTTAGCTTTGTGGTGCTCTTTCCTGAGTGGCCCATCTTTAGAAGGATGTACATTTTAGAGTGGCGCAGTGGCTCAGTGTTTAGCACTGATGCCTCAAGAGTGCCAGGGACTCGTGTTCAATTCCAGCTTTGGATGACTGTCAGTGTGGAGTTTATACATTCTCCCCTTGTCTGTGTGGATTTCGTCCAGCTGCTCCAGTTTTGTCCCACAGTCCAAAGATGTGCAGGTTAGATGGATTAGCCAGCTAAATTGCTCATTGTTTAATGGACATGTAGGTTAAGTAGATTAGCCATGGGAAATGCAAGTTTACAGGGATAGGGTGGATCTGGGCAAGATGCTCTTCGGAGGGTCAGTGTGGACTTAATGGGCCAAATGGCCCACTTCTGCAGGGATTCTACGATTTTAGAGATATTACAATAAAGTGAAAACTGAAACACAGGTGACAGCTGTGATGAGAGAATGGATAAACTTTGATATTTGGGTAAACTTGCATTCCTTGGAAATGAGGAGATTAAGGGTAATTGTATTAAGATGCGCAAAATAACAACGAAAATTTATTGGTAGATAAGGATCAAGTCTTTCCATTATCAGAGGAATTCAGGGTGAGGGAGTTCAAAACTAGGGGGCAAATTTTTAAGGTGAGAGGAGAAAGATTTAAAAAGGACATGAGGGGCAACTTTTTTACACAGTGAATGGTTCGTGTGTGGAATGCCAAAGAAAGTAGCCGATGCAGGTACAGTTACAACATTTAAAAGACATTTGATTAAGTTTGTGAACAGGAAAGGTGTGAGAGATATGGGCCAAGTGCAAGCAAGTGAGACTAGTTTAGTTAGGGACAATGGTCAGCGCAGACTGGTTGGACTGAAGGGTTTGTTGGCATGATGTAAGACTCCATGACTCTATAATCTTAGGATTGAAGTTTTGAGCTGGTTAGAAGTGAATCCAGGCAAAATATTTTCATTCAAAGGCATGTGAAAAACACAATGCCAGAGTTATGCATATAAAGCCAATTGAGGACTTTGAAAGAGTTTTATATATTTATTTGGAGAAAAAAGAAAAGAAATAAGGATCAAAAGGATGGGGCTGCCAGGGGCTAAGAAGCTGATAGAGAAGGCACAGTGGTTCAAGTGATGTATGTCATATATAATAAATATATGTAATGAACATAAGATATATGATAAATAATTATGGAGCATGTTACAGTGGCTCAAGGATGACTTTCCTTTGATTTCACTCCTTTCACCCCACCTTGTACTTGGCCAGTGATTGGTACCTCAGGGACTCTCAGTTGAGTGTCAACATGGGACCTTTTTTCTGGCACAGTGATAGAATGTGTTAATGATTCCCTTCACCACGGTAACAAAGATACCACTGCATCATTTTAAATATTATAGATGCCAGCAGCACAATTTGTTTAAAATAGAACTGGAAAAGTATGTTGCTTGCTACGGGCCTGTAACAAATGTACACGTGAACAGCTTAGGTTGACTGGCCTGTTATTTTCCCTTCCTCTCCTGTTGGTATAGCTTGCAGTGTAAACTCTACTGAATCACTCCCCCTACTGCATGGCTGAGGTAAGATATTACTCTTTGAAAAATGAATAGTTTTAGGAGAATTATGTGCTGCTGCATGACATCCCACAGAATCTCTGGTTCCTGCAGATGACCTTAGCCCATTTGACAATCTTTCTAAAAAATTTCAGTATAAAATGTAAAGTAAAGTCATATTCAAGCTTTTAATTACACATTTTGAATTCATGGAATCATAGAATTCCTACAGTTGGAAGAAGGCCATTCAGCCCATCAAGTGCTCAACGACCCCCTAAAGAGTATCCTAGTCAGCCCCAGACCCCTATCCTAACCCCTGTAACCCTGCATTTCCCATGGCTAATCCACCTAGCCTACACATGCCTGGATACTATGGGCAATTCAGCATAGCCAATTCACCTCATCTGCACATCTTTGGATTTTGGGAGGTAACTGGAGCACTCGGAGGAAATCCACACAGACGCGGGGAGAATGCGCAAAATCCGCACAGGCAGCCATCCGAGGATGTAATCAAACCCGGGTCCCTGACGCTGTGAGGCAGCTGTGCTAACCACTGAGCCACCGTGCTACCCCAAGTTGTTTTGCATATGCTGATAGACAATTAAACAAGTCAGGTTTCCATAGATTACATTGGGCAAAGGACAGATCAAAGTTATTGCATTAATCTTATCCCAGGCAATGATCTGGGATTGCAATTAATTGGTGAATGCAAGATTGGATAGGATTATATTGAATGCCTAGCATCCACATCAGTGTTTATGTTCCATAAAGACCTCCTCTCAATCTTCTTCATCAAACACTATCACAGAGTCAAAGTGTAGTACTGACCTTTCAGTCCAACTCATCCATGCTGACCATACATCCTAAATTAATCCTAAATTTGGCCCATTTCACTTCAAACCCTTCCTATTCATTCATCCATCCAAATGCCTCTTATATGTTGTAATTATACCCAACCCCACAACTTCCTCTGGCAGTTTGTTCCCTACAGGCACCACCCTCTGCATGAAAAAGCTACTCCTCATGACCTTTTTAAATCTTTCCCTTCTCACCCTAATCTTATGCCTATCTAGCTTTGGACTCCAGCCTGGGTAAAAGACCTTGGCTATTTACTCTATCCATGTCCCTCATGATTTTATAAATCTCTATAAGGTCATCCCTCAGCCTCTGATGCTCCAGGGAAAAAAAGCCCCAGCCTTTTCAGCCTCTTCCCATAATAATCTTTCAATCCTTTCACCCTCATGTATCCACATACCTTCTATTGATTCAAAAACAATTCTAACTGATAGTTGTTAAAATTTCAGAGAAAGAATCTGATATTCATGACTTTTGGTATTCATGTAAGAACAGAGAGATTACTGACTGCTGCACAAATTAACATACAGGATTGTCAAGACACTGTTAGAATACAACTTTTTGTTATTGTTGTGTCCTATTCAGCTCTGAATTCTGTGAACACTGGATGAGCTTCTACCACTGCTCCAGTTCAGATCTCCATCAGAGTATGAGTTTCATTTGTAAAAAAAGAAAAACTACAAATGTTGGTACAGGCTGGATGAAAAACAGAAAATTATGGAAATGCATGCATCTGTCAAGAGAAAAGGCAGACTGAATAGAATTCATCTTTTTTATGTGTTCAGTTAACAATATGTGCAAGTGTAAATAGAGTTTGAAAAGTATTTTAGGCAGAATTGAGTTTACAATTACAGAAATGAGCGGAAGAAAGTCACATCATTTTCACGTGTTAGGATCATGAACACAAAAATACCTTCCCCAGGCAATGATCAACTCTGGGGACAGAAGCAACATGGAGTGATCTAGCCTTTGCTCTGAAGCATCACTGCTAATAGACGCAAAGGCTGCAATTTTCTGCATGGCCACAAGGAGATGTGTGACTGAAAACATGGGTCCTTCAAAGCTGTCAGCATCTTTTCTGACAATTTACAAAGAGGAAGTGATGCCTTCAGTTGTCATGCAAGCAATTCTATGTGATGCTAGGGAGCAATAAAGAACATATTTCTGTTCCTATAATTCATATTAATTCACTTTGTTAAACAGGGTTATGTAATATGACTTGTTGACTGTTGCTAGTTTTTCAATTTTTAGGTATAAATGAAGAATAATAATTTTGCAAATAAAACACTTGCAACTTTGAACTGGTTCTATCCAATAAAGTCAGCATGCCGTTCTGCATACTGTTTTTAATCCAGTACTTATCCATACCCACATGTTTACTGATGTTAGAAAAGTTGAAATGTGAACTGTAAGTTTACATAAAGTGACATGAGTCTAAAAATGAAGCTAGAGGAGCAACAAGCCAGTGAATTTTAGTCCTTCACTTTGAAGTATGCACCATCATTCAATGTTCTGTACATTCTAATGATTTAAGGGAATGTTTTATACCTTTTAACAAACATTAGTGAGATATGGCATTGTGTCAGGAATTGAGGAAACAGAAAATAAGTTTTGTTTAATAATATTTCAACATCAAACCAGCTTACATTTTGATGGAATTTTAAACAAATATTTAAAATATACAAACTTCTTAATAAACACACCGTGAGCTATAGATGTTCATTACATTTGCTGATGTAGAAAGCAGCCAATGTTTTCATGCTGTCACGTTGCCTTACTTTATTAAAAGTTCTCTGTAATGTCCTCCATTATAATTCTCTGAGATGTTGGCATTTCTCCCACTCTGGCCTCTTGTGCAAGCTCGCATTTTATTGTCCGATGTAGTAGTAACTGAGCCTTCAGCTGCCAGTCCCTAAACCAATGTTTCTCATATTATAATTGGGACCCTGATTGGTGTCCCAGAAACAGTGAGTGAGATTGCTTGAAGTAAAATCACATT